CGGCTCCCCGCTGCCTTCCCACGGGCGGCCGGGGGGAGCCGGAGGGCTGGGGGGGCACCCGGACTGCCCGGCTGGAGCAAGGCTCTGTAGACACGCAAGGGCAAAGCACCGCCGCGGGTTTGCTGTGGGTGACTCTGCCCTGCCGGGGTGGGTGTCCTGCGTGGGTGCTTCCACGGTCCTGGGGCTGGCACGGCACCGACCCACGCTCGCACCGGGACAGCAGCGGCAAAGCACCGGGCAACCGTGCCAGCCCCAGCCGGTGTGCGTCGTGTCCGGCATCGCACAGGTCGGCGCTGGCAGGAGGACCTCTCCTGCTCGAGTCCCTCGAGCCCCACGCTGGGCTGAACAGCGTTTAACACCATTTCTGCGTTTCTCCAGCCGGGACAGGGTGAGAGGAGCGGAGCGGGTGCCTGGAGAAATCAAGGCACGGCAAGGGCTGAGGACAGCGGGCAGTTGGCGGGGGACACCTCCAGGAGGTAAGGACGGAGGGGGACGATGTCCTGCCCGTCACTGGCGGCTCACCATCAGGTATCGGTGAGGGTTGGAGGGTGCCATGGGCATGGAGCCCGTGGAGGGAGGCGGGCTGTGCTGTGAACCCCACCTCGGGGCACGGAGTGCTGGGGACGGAGTCCAGGGGACCTGCCTGGAGGGTGCCAGCAGGGCTGGGAGCCGCTCTGTGCCCGCAGAGGCTGCAAAAATCACTGACAGCAGCTCTTAATGAGGACGGGACTGACCTCACCCTCCCGAGGGGCTGCTGGGCCCTAGGGGTCTAGCCCAGCCCAGCAATGATTTTTTTTGCCAACCAGTTCTCCATGGATGTAGCTCTGCTCCACATGCTCCAGCTGGCCCTTTGCTCTCCTGAGGCTCTAACCAAAGCAGAGCTGAGCACAGGGAAGTGGGTGATGAGCACTCGGACAAGTGCCGTGGGAATGGTAAGGCATGTGGAGAGGTGCCCCAGGCCCTCCCTCCACCTCCCCTGGGCCTTCCTCACCCCTTCCTCATCCCTCAGACCACCCTTCGTGGTGATGCTCATGGGGGTCTCGCATGCCGCGTGCTGCTGGGCTGGCAGCAGCCTGAGACCCCGTAACCTTGAGCTTGCACCTCGGGGAGGCATCGCTCTTCACACTTACAGCAGTTTAATTAGCGGTGAGCCCTCAGCCCTCTGTCCCTACTTAAACCCGCTGGAACTGACCAAAAATTGCAGGGAGGGCACGGGATGACCAGCTGGGAGGATAACGCGGCCAAGTCTTGCTTTTCCAGAGTGACCTAAAATGAGAGCTGAGGTGCCATGATTTGGAGTATCGCGCTTTCCAGAAAGACTTTCCTGGGTGCTATGTGTTCAAAGAGATGCTTGGGGGGGGGGGGGGAAAAAAAAAAGCCCCCCCCAGCCATTTGCTGGCTGATGCTTTCGGCTGGGGAACCGCAACACCCACAGCTGATTCTGGGTGAGATTTGGGCACGGTCGCTTCCCCGGCTGCCATGCCACAGTCCAGCATTTGTAAACAACCCTGAGGTCCTCGGCAAGGTGTCATGGGAGGAAATAGCTGGATGCTGGTGAGTGCAGCATCCTGACCTGCACCTCACCCTTCTCAGTGACTAACCCGCTCCCGATTTCCGCTCAGGAAGGCACGAGACGTGGTGGGAGGATGTGAGAGCAGCTGTCACACTGCTCCCGGCAGGTGCCATGGGGTGACGGGGCTGCTTTGGGCTCTGTCCTCATCACCCTACATCTGTCCATGGCCCCATGCTGCAGGGATCTCCCTGGCCCTGCCTGCTTGCGCTTTAAATAGGGGTCGAATGCCCAGCCGGGCTCCGCTGGCCGCGGCTGTGCTGTGGGCTGGGGAACGAGGCTGAAAGCGGCTTCATCACGAGCTGTCGAAGCCAGCAACGCTGCAGCACTTGGGATCAGGAAGGGTTAGGGCAGGGCATCCCATGGGGGGATGCCCTGCAGCCAGGTTTTTCTTGGATGGGGAATGGGACCAGCACAATCTCAGCCTCCGTGATGGCACATCACACCCAGGCAGAGCTTTTCCATGTTCCTGCTGGTCTATGGGGACTTCACACGAGCCCGTCCTGATGCTGTGTCACCCTTGATGGATGCCCGCTTCGTGCTACAGCCAGCGCGGCGCCCACCACTGGCCCCACGAGTCCCTTTGCTCCCTGCGGCCATGGGCTGATTTGACCCAGTCCCACACGGATGCCACTTGTATGCCTCCAGATGTGATGTCTAATGCGGAAGTGGGATCACTTCCGTCACCGCTCAGTGCTGATAAACAGTCGTTTGGGGCTATTTTAATTGCGAGAGCCTTAACGAGCTCCCTTGATCCAACCAGCAGCCCGAAGGGTGCTCGGCAGCCAAGGTTCCTGCGCCATGGGCAGGCATCTGCCTGTCGGGTTTGTCCTGATCGGCTCCATTCCTGCCCGCGCGGTGCTGCAGAGGCTGTGTGCGTGGGAGGGCAGCGTGGGGATGTGGCATGGGGATGCGGCATGGAGCTGGTGTGCCGGTGGGGACAGCCGGTAGTGAATCCCCCCACCTTCTTTCTCACTGCAAAGGGGGCTTGCCCACAGTGCAGTGTCCAGTCTAGCCATGACCATGGAGGCCACCAGCCTGCCTTCATGAGCAAACACCTCTCAAATTCTTGTCCTGGGAGGGTCTGTGGGGTATCCCAGACCCCACAGACATCATTTGGGGGAGAAGGCTCATACATCCAGAGCACCGTGCCCTGGGCTCACTGGAAAAGGTGATGGATGCTCTGTGTTTGGGGAAACTGAGGCAGAAGCAGCAGACAAGGTTTGCCTTGAGTTGTGCAAGAAGCCAAGGGTTAAATATGGCAATTAAACACTCCCTCAGCTCCCTCCTGCCCCCAGCTGTTAGGGGAGCTGGTCCCCCCAGGGACTTTGTCCTGGGGGACTAAAGCAGAGAGGCTGGGGGCTTCCCGGCCCTGCTGTAACCCTTCTTTCCCCTGGCTGCTGCATCCTGGCTGCAGTGCGGACCCGAGGCTCTCTGTGCCAGGGCAGGCAGGCCCAGATTTCAAGCTCCCGCTGCCTACACAGCAGCAGCAGGCAGCCCCGGAGGAGGCGTGCAGAGGACATGGCTCTGCTGCAAGATGAACTGCAGCGTTTCACTTGGAGGCACGCAGCTCCTCCAGATCTCTGGCCGCTCTGCCATGTCCTCCAGCAGCCGCCTGGGAGACGGGAACAGGAGGGGGATGCACTCATCCCGGATCCATCCCTTTTAGCATCGTTCCCACTGCTGAAGGTACATGTCTCAAGGTGGAGCCAGAAATAGCACGGCTCCACGCTGCATCGGGGCTGGCAGGGCTGCAGGGTTTGGCAGGGGGACAGGCACTGACTGCAGCAGTGGGAACTTTCCAGTCAGCGCCTGCAGGAGCGGCCGGTGCAGAGCTGGAGCCGTTTTGGGGCAGACCCAGCCTGGGGACTGCAGCTTGGCCCCTCTCAGCCCCCAGCCATGGGGGCTTACAGGGACATCAGCCTGCAGCTCCCTGGGGAGATGCTGGTGCCGACGCAGGCGACCAGCACGGAGCAGGAGGGGACAGAAATAGCAGAGCTATCTCCTGGAGGAAAGCGATTGGGATTGCATCCCACCTGAAAGGCATGAGCCAGAGCACAGGTTTTGGGTCTGCCACTGGTTTGCTACAGAACTCTGGCAAGTGACTGCACCCTTGGTCTTTGCCTCCATGATCCATGGGCAGCAGGGATCACCCACAATCCCAGCTTCACACAGGGCCCAGGGCTTGACCCAGGAGGTTTCTCGGCCTCTGAGGACCTGGGGGTTACGGCAGCTCCTAAATCACAGCCAGGCTCTGCAACCCACTGGGGCTGCTACCTAGGCCTGACCCTCCACCGAGCTCTCAGCAGCTGCCGGCACAGCCCAGGACCACAGGGCTCACCGGGAAGTCCTCAGCAATGCCGGCAAGCTGAGCTCATTCCTCCCAGCTGATTATTTACTCAAAAATATTTCTGAGGTCAGGCCTCCTCTGGGGAAACACTCCCAAACGCCCGGCGAGAAGCTGCTGAGTCTGGAGTAACCACATGCACCACTCAGCCGAAAAGTCACCCCGATGACTAGCCCTGGCGTCAGAGGGACTGAGGCCAAAGTACTGCTTTTGATCTCCCCCTTTGCTGGGGGAAGCCGAATTTTAGGACATAGCAGGGTTTTCACCACTTCCCGGTAGCGGTTTCCTGCCATGATGTGAGCGCAGGCATTTTTGGGAGGTGAGTCAGAGGCTGCAATAAGAACCACCTGGCTGGGCTGCCGCCGGCCAGGCTGGGAGGCTCAATCCCAGGATGATCCCCACTGCGATGCTCGGCGCCTGCGGGCAGCATCCCTGGGGCAGAATTACTTATGGGGGACACAGCATCCCACCACAGCCCCCAGTTTCTGGCATGGGTAAGAAGAAGAAGGATTTGCTGCGCAGTTCCCACGGCTCCTCTTTCCTTGCCAGGCTGGGATCCGCACGCTCCAGCCACCCCACCCAGGCTCCAGGGAGAAACTTGGTAAAGGAGAAAGGGCAAAACCTCGTCCAGCTTTGCAGGAAGCTGCCTGCAATGGCTGTCCCACCCTGGCTACCCCAAAGCCCCCTGGTGTGCACAGGGCAGGACCAAGGCCCTGGTTTTCTCCAGGGAGTAATGCAGGACTTGGCAGAGCTGAAAAGCTGCCCTCCCTGGTCGTTGAAATTCAACATATAAAGCTGCTTCCTCGTAAAGGAACATCCCAAGTTTTCCCTGCTGGGCTTTATCATTTTTTGCTATTAAAATTGCATGACCCCCTGCCTGCCCCCCCCACCCCAACATTACACAAACACCTCCACTCAGCAAATTACTGCATCGTAGCTAGCGAGTGAGACTGAGCCTGGATAAGCCTTTTCAAAGGAGCTAAACCTGCTTAAAGCCGTGCTGTTCCCTGACCCGCCCTCCTAATCCTGCCCGCCTGATAATGAAATAATAAAGGACTGCAAAGCCTTGCTCTCCACTGTGCTGTGGGGGAGGTTTCTGCTGCCTCTGTTCATGCCAGGAGCTGGGATATTAATTACTCCCTAAGTAAACAGAGTTGCTTCTTTCTTCTCCTTTGCCTGGGCGTAAAATCAGGTGTGACCATCAGCCCGCAGAGCAGAGCAATCAGAGTCGCTCCCTTTTCCAGGAGAAAGGTTGGTTGCTGCAGCAGTACCAGCCATGATCTCTGCCCACTGCCCTGCCCAGGCTCCTCAGGGGTTGATCCCAACCCCGCAGCTCCATCAGGTGTCCCGCTGGGACCCGCAGGGCCATCCCTGCGAGGCTGCTGGGCCTCTCCCTGCAGGGATGAAGCTGATGACACCGGCCACCTGGGGTCTGCTGTGCCAGTGGCTGCCTTGTAGCAGAATGCACAAACTTGTTGCATCTCAGCCTCAGCTGCTGGGAAAGTGAGGGGAGGTGACAACGCAGGCAGGATCCATCCCCTAAGGCCAGGATGGCTCTTAGCACCCTAGGAGGCAGCAGGAATGAGGACTGGAGGATGGTGCTGGAGGACCCAGAGGGCAAAGGAGAGGCTGAGGGCATTCCAAGAGGCCACAGCATCAGCCCTGGGCTGGTGTGTTGAGGCTGCCGAGTGAGGAACCAGCTGACCCTGGGTGGAAAGGGGTTAAACAGCCCTTCCTTCTCCAGCACACCTGAATTGCATGGCAAGCCAGGAGGGAAAGGCTTTAAAGGAGGAGGGCAGGAGCCTGGGAAGAAGCTAGTGGGAGGCTGAGCACCCTGCAGAGGTGCTGTGCCAGGGCTCCCCTGCAGCACTGGGTCTCCCTCCCAACCCTTAGGGCATGTCCCCCCTTGCTTCCCATGCCTGGGTGCTGCTTTAGGGTTTCTTCCTGCAGCTGCTGCTGCCCTCCTCAGGGTGTCCCTGCAGGACCCTGTCCCTGCTCTCCCTTGGGGTGTCCCTGCTCCCCTGGGAGCTGCAGTTTCTCTCATGGGTGCAGGAGGGACCTTGGGAAGCAGCCAACTTCCTACATCACAAAAATAGTCTCCCCCCCAGTTTTTTTCCCAGCTCCTTTCTTTTGAAGGACAAAGCCAGCAACTTGTGACAAGTGAACGGCTGTAGCATGGGTGCTGTGACCACTGTCAGATGACTGTGCCTTGCAGGACAGCAGCAGCCGTCCTAAACATGCATCTATGTATGCAGCTGATGGAAAGCCTGGCCTGGGGTCAGAGGTGCCTGTGAGGTGGGATCTGGGCTGCCTGGCAAATGGATGCTGCCAATTCATCCCAAGCTGCAGAGTTATTGCCAGCCTGAAGGCTGGATTAGCATCGTGTGCCTGGTTGCGCTGCCTTTTCAGAGTGAATCCAGGCAGCTGATGCTGTTATTCTCGCATTGCCTTACGTTGCCATCGGGGAACAAGCAGGGATGTGGGAGTCGAGCTGGAATAGCCCCTGCTGTGACTAGGCATGGATGAAGGACCTATGGGGGACACAGGGGACTTGGAGAGGCACCAGCGACCCAGCAGGAACCACACAGAGCTTTGGTGGCAGCAAATTGGCTGCATGTGGGAGATGTGTCTGGTGCTGCACTGGATCTGCCCCTGCAGCGAGCAAAGAGGGTGATGGATGTGCCATGGCTCCCCTCGCCCTGCCAGCGCAGGCATTGCAGAGGCAGTGATGTAAATCTTGACCTCGTCCAGCTGCAGCATGCAGCCCTGCAGCCTGTTTCGCTGTGCTCGGGGCCGGTCCAGGCAGGGCTACAGCTGTGACGGGCGATCTGTGCCGAGCCCTGTGGCGTGATCCTGCTGTGGGAGCAAACTAGGGGGCTGGTGAGTTGAAAGGGGGACTCTCCTGGCTTGCACACCAGGTAGATAACTGTGGAGTGGTCTTGAGTAATCATGGAGGGAGATGTGGGGATGGAGCCACACCACAGGGGCAGATACATGTCACCAGGCATGGTGAAAGGAGACAAAACGTTCCATCCTGGTGCTCGGGCGGTGCAGCAGTGGCATAGAGAGGGGACACCAATGCGTTTCTATCTTGTTTGCATTGAGGATGCTGCATCTTAGTGAAGGCTGGAGAGAGACAACTTTTAATGAAGTGTTCAGCACAAGGAGACTGATGGTGATGCTGTAGCTCCCATGCAGATGGGAGTCATCGCCAGAGGCACCACTGCCGTCACGCACCTGACCCCATGCACCAGAGCAGCCCAGCAGCGGGGGGAGTCACTACTGAGTAACAGAGGCATACATCCTCCACGTCCTGAACGAAGCCTGCCACGACTTCCTCCTCCTTCCCTGCTCTCAGCTGGGAGAAAACAGACCAAGGGATGACGACGTTGCACAGCGGCTTAGAAAACTGCCAAGAAAAACTTCTCCCTCCAGGGCGAACAAAGCGATGCGGGGTGATCCTGGTGATGAAATGAATGCTGTTTGCCTTCCCTGCAATATAAAGCACACTCCTTGGGCCTGGCAAGATCAGCACAGAGCTCTGCCAGGTGGGTTGGAAATGTTAGTTTTCTGCTTAGATGAGTCATTTAGAGCCTGTACCCAAGAGGGACTTTGTCCTCACATCCAAAGCGCCTGGAGGACCTCGGAGAGCCCGGTAGTGAGTATTCCCTTGGGAAACGGTGCAGAGACCAGGTTTAGCTCCAGCAGCATCTCCTTAGGGCTGCCATCCCACCGCCATCACGGCCCTGGGGTGCTGAGGGGAGCCACAGGCCCAGAGTGCGGCCTGGCCCCTGTGGGGCCGGGGACTGGTTGGCGCAACCCCTCCTGAACACCGTGGGCCTCCGGGAGGCCTCAGGCCTGAACGCGGTGGGGCGGGGAGGGCTGTGAGGCCGGCTCCCCGCCCCACCGGGTTCAGGCCTGAGGCCTCCAGCCCCCCCCCCCCACCATAGAGCGAGGCTAGAGCGGCGCCGCAGCGCTTCCGCCGGGCGGCCGCCATCTTAGGCGCGGGCAGTGAAGCCGCCGCATTGAGGTCTCGCCTCGCACCGCCGGGCAGAAGGGGGAGGCGGCCGCCCTGTCAACCGCACCCGGGAAGCGGGCGGTGCAGCCCTCGCCGAGGAGGGGGAGTTTACGTCGTTCTCACGCTTCCTCCTCAGGTACCGGCGCTGCTCGGGCAGTAGCTGATACCTCTTTGCCGCTGGGAGAGAGCGCGGCCGCTGTGCCCTCACCTAAGATGGCAGCGGGGGCGGTCTCTCCCTACGGAGAAGATGGCCGCCGAGGGGAGCGGCGCTCTAGGCGGGAGGCGGAGCTGGCTCGGCTGGGTGAGGGGAGCGGGGAGCGACCCTCTCCGGCCTCCTAGGGACCCTCACCCCCACCACAGGGACCCCCTACTCCGCTGCAGGGACTCCCCTCCAGCCTTGCTGCCTCACAGGGAAACCCCTTAGCCCCCCGCCCCCCCGCCCCTTCCAACCTTCCCGCGCTCCCCTCAGCTTACCCCCAACTCCCCCAGCCACGGGAACCCCTGTCTGTCTTGCTAACACCCCCTCACCCCCATTTTGGGGGGTATTCCCTCCCCTGGTGCCTCTGGGTGAGCGTGGGGCGGGTTTGGGTTGGGGTTACCCGAGGCCTGGCTCCTGGGGAGCGGCGGTTGCTCTGCAGGCAGCACTCTGCTCCCCCCCACCCCCCAAAGCTGCTGTTGCTCTATTTTATTTTAATAGTAATATTTTTTACCCCCCTTTTATACTTTGCCACAGGAGTGGACCAGCAAGACTGTAGGTAGTGGAAGGGCTCCCCTCCTCCTCCTCCTCCTCCCCACCCCTTAAGGGGCGGTGATCGCGGCAGAGAGGAAGAAAAGGATGCCACGGAAGCTGTTGTTGCCTTATAAATCTGTTTTTTCTCACTTTCGAGCTCCACGGGGGTTGCATGACTCTTTGGCGATGAACGCAGCCAGAAGTGGCTACCGGGTCTTCTCGGCCAACTCCACGGCAGCCTGCACCGAGCTGGCGAAGCGGATCACAGAGTAAGTTCCCTCTCTTTCAAGTTCCTTTCCCCCTGCGCAGAGCTCCTCTGTGCAGGAAGGCTTTCTTCAAAGTGGCTGGAGAGGCTTTTGGCGTCGTCCCGCCTTCCCAAGCCAAAGGTGTCTGCTGCGAGCACCTTTGCTCTGGAGGTTTTGCACCAGGAGTGTTCAGCAGCTATGCCCTTCTCTTCCTTGGCGCTGGTTCATTCCTCCCGATAACTCAATTTGACCCAGCGACGAAAATGGACCTGCTGCTTTCTGCCTCTTGCGTCTCTGACATCCATTTCAACGCTGGAAAGGCCAGGCTGCAGCAGAGGCTGTTACTTTTGGGGATAGAGAAGGTGAAACTTGGCTGAACAAACCTCAGAAAGTGTTTTAACTGGTTTGGGAGATGCTCAAAACTTTCTCCACTGTTTTTCGTGGGGCCGGGCCGGCGACCTTACGTGCTCAACACTTTCATGGCTTGGGGAGCGTTGCCTGTACAGACCTCGGTGCAACACCAACAGTTGCACTAACCAAAGTGGATTAGTGAATCTGCATTTTGGTGGGGTAGGAGAGATGGGTGGCACATGCTAACAAAAGAGAGTTTAGTTTAGGGATAGAAGTGTGCCCCCCTCCCTTTTTTTTTCAGCCTATCGATTTGGGCAGAGTTTGACCTTGACTTTGCAGGGATGGATGTGCTGGGTCCTGCTGAAGGAGGTGTGTAACAGCTGGCTCCAAAATGGGGCTCTTGCTGCACAGAGGAGCACTGAGTTTACCCTGACACTTGATCTTTTGTTTTGAATTAGTTTGGTTCAAATCAGGGCGCTCCCAGCTGAAGGGGCTTTTCTGAGACAGGCATCTGTATATTGGGGAGCTGCCATCCTAAAGCAGGATTTGAGTTTCCTTTCTGCTGCTTCTCAGCTACAGTTCATATGAAGCTGCTCCCAAAATCAAGGGGGCTCAGTGCTTGTTTGCCTGTCGCAGCAGATAGCATCATTGCTACCCCTTAGGCAGCTGCTGGCCTGTCCTCTCTCCAGGGGCATGCTTAAATTGGAAACATTACTAAATATAGGTGTGCTGCCACCTTAAACTGCAAGAACATTTTGCTGTTTGTCCAGCTAGCTTAATAAACAGTGTGTTCAATCCTTAGCACAGATTATCTCCACGAAGCTGACTTGGCTGTTTGGCTGGTGTTGATGGGATGCATGTTGGATAATAGTGATGGACTTCTTTGGGTGTGAGGTGGACACGGAAATCCTTGTGTTTGGGAGTGGAAAGCTTTTTTTTGGTTCATTTATTTTTGCTATATTTGGTTAGTTCCGCATCACTTTCCCTTCACTGATACAACTCTGCAAATAAAGTCTCTCTGTATATAAAAAATAAGCTTTGCTGCAACAGATGGGACATGGTTTTACACGGCTTGTCCTGTTGCGTCAACACAGAACAGAAGTCCCCTGGGGACGAGCTCCAAGTTCTCAGGACTGAAAGAGCAAACGGGCAATCTTTATTCTCTGCTCATTGTCTTAAAAATAACTCACTCTTTTTTTAAAGAGGTAATGAGAAGAGACATGGAGGAGGTTTCCCCAGGCCATGGCGCACACAGCTGGCTGTGTGACGTGCTGCTGTAACCCTCTGCAGGGTTCCCAGTGGTGCTCTGAGGGTGAATGACAGAAGGATCCAGAGAGTTGACCTCCCGGCTGTTCTTCGTTGTCCTGGTTTCAGCTGGGATAGAGTTAACTGTCTTCCTAGTAGCTGGTACAGTGCTATGTTTTGAGTTCAGTATGTGAAGAATGTTGATAACACTGATGTTTTCAGTTGTTGCTCAGTAGTGTTTAGACTATAGTCAAGGATTTTTCAGCTTCTCATGCCCAGCCAGGGCACCTGACCCAAACTGGCCAACAGCGTATTCCATACCATGGGACGTCCCATCTAGTTTAGGAACTGGGAAGTGGGGGGGCAGGGATTCGCCGCTCGGGGACTGGCTGGGTGTCGGTCGGCGGGGGGTGAGCAATTGCCCTGCGCATCATTTGTACATTTCAATCCTTTTATTACTACTGTTGTCATTTTATTAGTGTTATCATTATCATTATTAGTTTCTTCTTTTCTGTTCTATTAAACCGTTCTTATCTCAACCCAGGAGTTTTACTTCTTTTCCTGATTTTCTCCCCCATCCCACTGGATGGGGGGGAGTGAGTGAGCGGCTGCGTGGTGCTTAGTTGCTGGCTGGGGTTAAACCACGACATTCGTGAAGTAAACTTTTAATAGAGGTGATGTGGGCTTTTTGCCTTGGCTCTAACGTCAGTGAGGAAGTTGGATGCTCTGGTGGTGGTATGAGCACAACAGTGTGATACACAGCTACTGCTTAAACTGAGACTTAAGGACACGTAGCTTTACTGTCTGTAAAATGGGGAGTAGTGACCACTCTGAAATGGAAAGGTGTAAAGCGTTATACGCAGATGAGGTTTTGTTGGAAGGGGGTGCAAAATCTGGAACTGTTAATAGCACAGATTTGTCCACAGTAAAATGTCTCCAGAAAAACCCAAAAGATATTTTCAGCATCTTCTGAGGTGGTTTTGCACTGACTTCCCTTAGGAGCTCAGGGGCTGTTTCAACACGTTTGTAATACATCCCTTGTTTTTTCAGGTTGCAAAAGATGCGTGCCTGCTGGCTTTCCTACTGTGTCACATCCCAGCCTGTACTTTGCTGGGGAGGTCAGTTGCACCTTTTAATAGAGTTGGAGCAGTCTTATAAGGGTGAGTCTGTCCTCTAATATTGTGCGTTCTTTTTAAAGTTTTTTTATGACCTTTAGTATAAGTAGTAAAAGAACTTTAAAACAACACACAATATTAGGAGTAGGGCCCCCTCAGACACTTGTCCATCTTTACCTGTAGGTATGATGTTAAAATCAATACTTGAGGAGTCCTGGTTTATCCTTTTTTAAAATCTCAAGCCTCGGGAGGAGCAGTGTGACATAAACCAGACATCAGAAAGCTGTTCAATCTCCTCACTTAATTTAATGCAAAACTTCCAGAGTTGCTTTTGATTCAAGTTCTGAGCATGGCATTCTGGCACTCTTCCGATCTTTACAATTTCCCATTATGTATTCTTGTCTGGTTATAGGATGAGTCTAACTTTCACTTTGACTTTTCGGAGCTTTTGTTTATGTTAGTGTCTGCCAGGGAGAGGAGATGGTGCTGGCTTATGAGAACCAAATACCCTGTGAAACTTTAAATAATAAAGATGCTCCTTAGATTTAGGACCACCGAAATATAAATAAAACCATATGTTTACTTGTATCTTACAAATTGAGAGGGATTTTTTTTTTTTTAAATTCTTTCCCAGATGGAAAGAAAACTCCTGCTGTAATTAGGACGCTTGGCACCTGATTACAAGCTGCATTTGCAGGGAAGAAAGATCATTTCTGTGACCAGTGCTGATCCCTAATGGGCCTTGTGTGCTGCTGGGGGGAGGGAGGTCTAGCAAGTCTTTTTAATCTCCAGAGTCCAACAGATGCATTTGGATCTCCATCCTACTGCAGTGTTTGGCACAGAGGGTACAAATATTACATTCCATTCCTTGCTCGTGTGTTTGGATTGGAGGGGATTGTTGATTGAAGCTTGCTAATGCCTCTCCAGTGCTCCTGCAGGTCTCTGTTATGTGGGACGTGGTACTATTGTAAACTCATTGCAGACTGTGGATGTGAGTATTCTAGAGATTCATTTGGATTGCAGCGTGAAAAATGCTGATGATCTAAAGAGAAAAGCAATGCCGTGAGCTTAAACAACGTGGAGTAATGAGGAAAAGACTGAGACTTGTGTTCTGATCTCGGGTCATAGGGAGCTGAGTACACAACACTAAAACCAGGGTGGTGGTTTTTGTGAATGAGCGGGAGGTGAGCCATGCTTTTGGAAGAGACAGTTTGTTAGCAGGACCTCAGCTGAAGGAGAATTTCTGATGGGATGGAGAAAGAGTAATGTCAGTCTTCCTCATTCGGTCATCTTGCCAGCATGTGAGAGGATGGCACAGGGGAGTCAGATCACAGTAACCTTGTGATGCTGCTCTCCCTTATCTCCAAACCCTGTTCTTGCTTTCTGGAAAGAGCTCTTGTGTGGTGCTGTGGGAGGAGAGGAGGTGGCACCAACTCTTTTCCATCTCAGAAGATGTAGCACCGTGGCAGGAGGCTAACAGGTACTACAGGGTGAAACTGCATCAAAGGATTTTGGAAAGGGAGAAGAATAACCAGCTAAAAAGTAGTGTGGTTGGAGAGGGTTACAAGCAGGGGATGGTGCTGGTGTAGGGTGAGCATGGAGCAGTTGGGCTTTGAGTTTTTCCGTGCAGCTTAGATGGGGCATGAAATGTGGCTGAGCAGATTGGCTTTGCGTGGTAGCTTTCTGTGCTGGCCAGTGCCAGGTTTAGAGGAAGGTCCTTCATGAGGAGCAGGCTGGTAGGACTAGAGGAAAATCCACGTGGTGTTTGCTGGTAGTTCAGCTGCATGGCTTTTGGCATGGCTGGAATAAGTAATGCAAGTGCTGGATGGCTCTGGGTACAAGTGGCAAATGAGCAGTAGGGACTGTTCTTCAAGTATCCAGTTGTGCTGGGTGGATGGAGAGAGGTAAAGGAGAGCTCAGATAGTTATAAGGATATCTGAACAGATTGCCCTGTATCCAGGAAGGTGCTGTTTCCTTTCCCTTCCCTGGCTTGTTCTTGTAGCGGGAGATTAGAAGTAAACCATAGAACTGCCACTGTGCTAGCTGGACTGGTTGACTGATCTTTATTTAAAGATTTGCTTAAGTTTGAAAAGCAATTCAAAGTCAGGCCATGGCTTGCTTTGGCCATGGCCAAGCACGGAGCATATCCTCTGCTGTTAGTGCCAGCTCCTTTTGGAGTCTGCAGTAGTTTGTGAAGTCTGTAGATGTGGGAAGAGTCAGGTATTTGCAGAGCTGAGACCAGTGAAAGTGTTTGTAATGAAGAGGGTAATGCTAAAATAAAATCGTATCATAGTCAAGGGCTTCGTCTGTGTGCCAGTTTCTCTTCAAATTCAGTGTTTGCACTGTAAGCTGGCTGGAAGCTTTCTTCAGAGTTAACTTCACAAATGTCTTTCAGGTGCTTGTCACAGAGTGGGAGAGGGAAGCGCAGCCCAGCCCAGGCTGAGAGCCCTTCCTAGCAGTACATGCTTTGATGGCTTGAAATACTGCAAGTGAACCTGCCTCTTGAATTTTGATTCAGCTAAACATCAAGTCTCTTAACTGACTGTCCTTTGTCTCAAGAACCTGGTACAGTGGTTTTTGACAGTCTTCAGAGGAGCATTTTAAAGTACAGTCTAAAATGACCTCATGGTATTTCCTAAAATACTGCAGTGTGTCACTTCCTCGTTAAACTGTAGGTGACTTCTGAGCTGTTCACGTTTAGGCTGTGAATTTGAGATGGATTTTATAAACACTCTTGTATCTACAGCTTAATATCCTCTTGGCATGTGTTGAGACTGCGGAAAGTTAGATCATCTTTCCTCGCAATGTTTACAGAGAGAGCTATTGCAGATCAATATAAATTTTTACTGGCCAGTTGCTCTGAGTAGGATTTTTAAAGCCATGAAGAGAATTTTTCTCTTAGATGCTCTGAGGTCTCTGAGGAGTCAGTTTAGTGACAGAGCTGGTTCGAGGATGGCAGAGCAGAGCGAGAAGCAGGGCTTTCCCCATCAGGAGCAGTGGGTGGTCACACAGGGAAAGCTTACACTGAGATGGCATTAAAAACTTTAAAAGCTGGGAGCAGCTTGGAGTAGTAATACCTTGGTCCTGCTGTGCCCAGTCCTCTGCACTGAGCTTGGCAGGACTGTATGCCCATAGTTTTTTTTAACAGATCCTAGTTCTGAAGACTCCTGCTTTTAAAAACAAAAATGCCAAACTGAGTTTCTGTCTCTCTTGGATGGAGAAAGGAGCTTCCGGAAGTGAACTTGTGCTCTGATGTCTGCTTGGCACTGGTTAACAATTGAGATTTCTGCAAACACTGTAAAAATTAGCCTGACCGTTCTCCAGTCTTAAATACCTCAGTATCCGTAAAAGCTGCACACACACACACACACCCCCCCACTGGCCCATAGCCAAATACTGCACCACACAGCAGGCCTTTTGTCGATGGAGCTCATTTTGCTTGGAGATGTGACTTAGCTACAAGACGTAAGGTATTATTTTTGCCAGAAGAAGCGGTATCTCTCTGCAGGAGCATGTGCTCTGGGTTACCTGTAGTGGCAGCCTTTACTTTCGTAGTATAGATCTGCCTGTGTCTGCAGACAAGTGATCCAGTATTGCGATAGCCCCTGTTCATATGGTTATGTTGCTAGTCCTGAAACCCAATGCAAACAGAGTTCTTGCTGTCAGTTTAATTCCTCTATTGCCTAAAGCAACAATTGATTGGGAGCTTTTGCGTGGAGAGGATTCAGAGAGAAAAGAGCTGGGGATGAAGGGGAAAAAGGGAGGGGTGACAGGAAGAGGGAATTTATCTTTGAACTCTGTTACAAATGGTTGCTCCCAGGCTGTGTGGTAGCTAAGGCCGTGCTCTGCCCTTGACTTTGGTGCAAATCTTCTTTGAACACAAGTCCTGCAGAATTCAGTGTTTTACAACAGGAGCTGCACGAGAAGTGCCCTCTTTAACAGCCTAGACTAAATCATGGTTTTATCAGACTCCTTCACTGGCTGAAGTACCCCGCATAGATCGGGTACTCCATAACGTGGTTTAGTGGGCACGGATGATGATGACTCGATGATCTTGAAGGTCTTTTCCAACCTAAATGATTCTATGATTCTATTAAGTCTTGGCTTATGCAAAGCCTTCAGAAAGGGATTTAGTGGAAGGTGTGCCCCTTGGGTAAACATACCTGAACTGCTTTGGTGGAGCTGCCTGTCGGTCCATCTGCCATGCCTGCAGCTCACAGGACTGCTGAGCGCTGCAGGTGGGGTTGATGTATGACTTTTATGGGCGGTTTTATCTTGTACCGTTCCCATTGCCGCCCCTCTTGTTTACTTACCATCAACAGTTGGAGCAGAGATTGGATTTATTGTCTGACCAGAGCAATCTACTAACACTCGTTCCTTTAAGTTGGCAGCTGCTTACTGTCTTTGCTGCTCTCTGCACCCAGGTTTGACAAGCTGAGCTGTTTATTGTCCCTCTTTTGGGGAGCAAACTTGCCTTTCCGATTTCTTTTTTCAGCAGCATGGAAACTGCATTGCTGCTGTACGATCTGAATAGGGGAGCACTGGGCTCTGATTTCCTCTTGCCAGCTACATCCTCGCAGAGTGTCACAAACCTCCTCTGTGTTTGTTTGCCACTACTTAGCATTGAGAGTGTCACCTTCAAGGGGTGTTATGCTGCAATATGTCTGGCTGGACTGGTTTGGAAGCTTTCCTTCCTGCCATGAGATGCAGGGTTGACCAAGGGAACTTGTGCAGTCTTGTTAATGGAGTTTTTTTCCAGTAGTGAGGTAGGAACGTGCTGTCTGCAGTGAAGTCAGGGCGCGCGTGCCTCCAAAGGGAGCTTGCAAGACTTGCTGTGCAGTTGTGGAGGAACAACTGTGAGTCATTAAACGTTTCCCACACACACAGGTTTGTTTTGTGTGTGTGTGATTCTTGAGCTTTTTTCAGCTTGGATGCCTTGGCAGTGATTAGGCCAAAGCTTACAGGTTGCAAATGCCTGTCATCCAGAAAGGCAGCAGGATCCCAGTGGACAGTAAGAGCTTGATGCATCCCATCTGCAAAATTCACTTTTACTGTGCATCCATCCCTGGGGTGCCTGGGCATGCCTTTGCTTGACCAGCTGCCAGCTCCTTTTTGAAGATACTGAAGGTACTGAGGATGCCTTTGTATTGTAGCTGCAGGTTTTAACCTAGCGGGGCTGATGAGAGAAGCTGAATTAGAGATTTGGGTGGCTTGCCTGCTCTGGGCTGCACGGTGCCTGGGTGATGCTGCAGTCGATACCCAAGCCAGGCTGGTTACAACCAAGTGTGTATGATTTTCGTTGCAGGAGTTTACTCACCAACCCCAGCCATGGCAAAACATGTTGCCAGACACACGATCGGGAACACATCTGTGCCAAATACGTGCTTTGTAGCCAGCTAAGTAAATATATCATGTCGCATTCGAGTATCTGTTATCGCAGCTGTCCCAGGCATGCTTTCCAGGGAGCTTCTAGCTGAGACCTCCAGCTCGTGGGCTCATAGCTGAGTCCAGCAGTTGCTGGTGGGCCAGCAGCATGCCAGTGTTGGGCTGTCTCACTCATTGACTTCTGAAAAAACAAATCTTTGTGACAGTTGAAGTACAAGGCTGAGTCTGTGGCTAAGGAGATGGGGAGAGACTGACTGCTGAAGGACATAGACTAGGCGAAAGCCAGTGACAGATGTGGGCTCTTTATTTAGGGTTAGTCCCAATTTGCGTAATTTTGGCATGTGTCCAGGTAAATACAGTATATGCGCAGACAGGAAACTACAGCTGTAAGCAATGCATTGAACAAAAGTATTTTGTAGACATAAAATGTTTCCTAATCCAGTGTGTGGGCATGGCCACTGAGCAGACCCTAGAAGAGGGGAGGGACTGGCCCTGTGGTCTAGCCAGCTGAGTTGCGGCAACACACCTATCCCAAACTGGTGCAGGGTCTCTTGGCTGAGGCTCACGGTTAGAGGACATGTGCCTCTAAGTACTTACTAATGGATTACTTGTCGGTACAGTTAAATACAGAAGTGTCACCTGAGGGAATAGTCTGCCTTTTGGAGCCTTTTAAAATGCTGTTAAAAATTAATCTTTCTTATATAAGTAAGAAATTTAAAAGAAAAAAAAGGGGGGGTGGGTGACTGTAATCTGTGTTGTGATGAATGTTGTAGGTTTGACGTTTGAAAAGAGGAAGGAGTAATTTGAAAAAATCAAAAAACTTTTTTTGAAGATAAAATCTCTTCAATCAGTTGAGTTATTTCAGAAGGAAGGTTTGGGGGTGGGGCGGGGGGAGGGGAGACAAAGATGTGGGAGTCAAAAAAAGTGACTCAGTTGCCATTAATCAAGTCTGAGTAAATCATTGATGTTTAGTTCCACAACAGATCATTGGTGGCATTGCATAGGCTAGCAAGATGTCCGTTGCCACCAGGAGACACAGCCTCTGGTCAGTCATGCAAGGATTGGCTTGTTGAGTATGGCATTGACCTGCTGCAGAGCAGCATGCTGCAGAGCCCTCCCCAGGGACATCAGAGGAAAGGAGACCCATGGGGAAGGGGAGCGCTTGGCGGCTTGGCTCCCTGTTAGGCAATGCTGTATTTTATTGGTGTGCAATATTTGGTCCAGTCTCTGCTTTGGATCATGAACTGCTGGGTTCCTCCATTTTTAATTTCCTTTTTTCTCTCCAGGCGTCTCGGTGCTGAGCTGGGGAAATCTGTGGTATACCAGGAAACCAATGGAGGTGAGAGAAATCTTTACTGTTTGCAGCTGTTCTGAGGTAGTCTTAGAAATACTGGATAACTCCATCAGCCAAACCTGTCTAATAAGTGCAGTGATTCATCTGTGACATCACTGCTGCTCCAGGCAGTGCTAAACCTCCATGTCTGACCTTGGACAAAGTAATTAAACACGTTCCTTGTTTTCCCCTGTTACCTCATTTGTCTGCCCATCAGCTAACTCTCATCTAAAGGAGAATCCTACCTCGGGTGTTAGCTGCTACAAGATCTTGCACGCTCTTGTGCTTAGCAAAACATCTCCCAGGTTTAAAAGTAATGGCCTGCTTTCTAAGAGTCTGCCTTGAAAACTTTTGAATTATCCCCTTCTTCCAGCCCTCCCCTGCCACAGGCAGTTTACAGGTGCCCTAGCAAGGACCTGTCCTCTTGCTTTAAAGAGGGCACATTCAGGGCTGTGCTGGGGAGCGTGCCTCTTGGAGCTTGCTTTCATCTCTTTAAGTGTAGCAAGTGTCCATTTTCAGATGCTGGGCTAAAACACAAGGATATTGGCTAACAGAGTTCAGTGGCTAAGAGTCATTTACTATTTCAAGACAGTTACCTTATTTGCAAGAGACTAGAACCAGAGAGTTGATATGGGTGAGAGGAAGGGATGGAAACGGCGCTGGGTCAGCATTAGGGTTTTTGCTAGCACTACCGCTTTTACAGCTGAAGTGGGCCATGTGGTGGGTAAGCTGCCTTGGCTGCATATGGTTATGGTTGGGTTGGCTGTTGCATTCGCGCAAGTGAGAGCTCACAGCCCTTTGGTGTTAGTTTTAAATCAGGTTGCTTGGTATAAGGTCTGAAGTCATTCTTCATCACTGCACAGCAAATCAGTCTGCTTTCAGCAGATTCCCTTAAGGTTACTGCCAGTGCCCAGGCAATTATACTTTGAATTTGGTAGCTGGGTAGATATTTCTCGCCTTTTGCTTATCCCTGCCCTCTAGTTTACGACTGTGTGGGAAACGAGTGACGAAGACAGGCACCTCGGGAAACCTGGTGTCGTTGCTTTGGCTTTGCAGAGCTGCTTCGGGTCTCGGCTTTCGCATTTGAGTCTCAGACCCTAGCAATTGTGTTCAGCAGAGACCCAAGTTTCCAGCTCATGTCAGTGTTGAAATGTCTTGACCTTGATAGTGAAATTGGGGAGTTCTCCCTCTGAACTCTGTGCTGCTGGTGTTACCTTGGGCTATCTAGCAGGTATGTAGCTGACCCTATGGTTACCTTCATGGTTACCTTCTTGGTAAGTACTAAATGTTGTTCTGCTTGGGGTGGTTCATTGTTCACTAATGAATGCAGTATTGACAGATTCCAGAACTCAGCATGGAGAAGTGAAAAGGGTCCCTCATTGAGAGTTAGGTAATTGTCTTCTATATGTAAGAGAACAGCTATTCAGCCTGGTTTTGCACTGTAAACACAACTAACTCACTGGTATGTCATGCCAGCTCTTTACTTCCCAGGACCACGTGCACTGAAGGGCAAAGGAGCAAGTCCTCATCTGCCCTGACCAGTGGGCAAAGTTGCTGCTAAAACATGGCATGTTATCACTGTAAATCTGATGTTTGGAAACAAAACTGACTGTGTTTTCAATCCTCTTCAGAAACAAGAGTTGAAATAAAAGAATCTGTCCGTGGACAGGATATCTTCATTATACAGACAATCCCCAGGTAAGGGACTTGTGGCTTAGTTTTACAGCTGTGATATGCTTTGAATTTCTGGTTCAGCAGATCATTCGATAGGTTTGCTCACCGTTAGCCAGCACGGTCTCTTTATAGTGTTGTCATTGCTTTGATTTACGTTTTAAGACACCACATAGTGTTAAGCTGTTAAAATTCCCAGAGGATCGCTTGCGCCGCAGCAAACTGAGAAGCTTCCCATCAAATAGCTTAAGTGTGTCACTTGAGGCAAGAACAAGTATGACTGACGGCTTCAAGTGATACATCCCTGGTCTGTGTGTGGTGTCCTTGCAGGCACAGTTGCTTGGTGATTTCTGACTGGCATATCCATTTTAGGATGTGTAGTATCCTCTGTCTTCCAATTACTGAGCAGCAGAGCCAGCAACAAACAGCAGCTATAGCTTCCATTACAGACTGGATTACCCTTCCCCTTTTGCTGTAGTGGTGTGAAAGAGCTCAGGTAGAAGCCTGTAGCTTCCCTCCTGTACTCTTACAGTTCTTAATTCTGTTGGGCCTTTTCTTAAGTGGGCCTTTTTGGTTTTTATTTTGGGTTGTTCTAGCCTCGGAGTAAGAGGAAAAAGAAATGCTGCAAGTAACCAGGGGGCTATAAAACCAGCTGCTAACCCCAGGAATCTTGTGGCTTGCTGACTGAGGAAGAGTGTAGTGAGATAACACTGGTATGGTGGGAAGGGAGCCTACATACAAATGATAACTGTAAAATGACCACCTATGAGTAGGCGAGGTGCTGTTCTCAGAGATGAGGTATTGATAGGATGCCTTTTGCATGATTAGCAAAACAAGGATATTGCTGCTCTGATAGCTTTTTCCAAGTTGCCAAATTCTGCTCAGATTTTGGAGATCACAAGAACTAGTAAGTACCAGAGCTCAAGCAGGTAGCAGAATACCCTTGAAACAGAATTTTTCCTTGCTTGCCAAAGAAATAGAGCCCAGTGAGAATTCAGGTTCATTTCCTCTTTGTAGTGCTTGGCCTGTTGTTAAAGAAATCAGTAGGACTACTAGATCAGCTCGATCACTTCAGGAGTTCCTCTTGCAGGCTGAGACATCTTCCTAGAGCTCATCTCTCTCCAGAGAGATGCTCCAAGTGTTTCGTCCCTCAGGGAGCAACTAAATCTCTGCAAGATCAAAATCCACTGATGGAAGATTATGTTTAAAGTGAATAGTGCCATTCTCCTGTCCCTTGTGAGAGAGTTCTCTGAAATAACTGTAACTGAGAGCTGTGTAAACATGAAACAGATAAGGTGTTCAGAGAGAGATAACTCAGACCATTAGGGACAGCAGTAGTTTTGGGAGGGAAAAATCTCCTCTGCTTTTAACATGTTGATACCCTTGTTTTTCCATAAACCGAATTCAGTGCTGTGGACCAAGAAATGGGTGGGTCCTTTTTAGCCAAAATGTTGAAGGCCCTCCAGGTGAGGAGCCACTGTTGTGCAGCCAGGTCGTCTTTTATTCTTGAGATCCAGCTGTGCCTTGCTGCATTGCTTGAGAGGACAGGTTCAAGGGCATCTCAATTTTGCAGTGGGTTTCAGGCAGCTTTTCAGGAGAGTAAAAACAACTGTGTTGAAGAATCTAAGAATAGGACTTCCGCACTCAGTAGCGGTTTGAAAAGCAAACAAAATATTAGGACTTGGTAGGAAAGGAGTAGAGAGAGAAACAACCTTGTTTTGCTGCAGTGTGAATTCACAGTCTGCATCTTAAATGCACAAAGAGAAAACAGAAAGACCTGAATATTTGATACAAGCTCCCTGTCCAAAAAGCATGTAGCAGAACTAAAAAAGTTACAAAGACAGATACCATCCAAGACTGTTGGTGTGTGGACTAGCATTTGTATGAGGGAAAACCAAATAGCTCATGTTTAGACTGTGGAAAACTGAAAGATTTGGTGGTTTAGTGATACACTAAAAGCGGAAGGAGTCTTTTAGTGCTGAGTGTTGGTGCTGGTTGTTGCAAAGTCGGTTGGCAGCTTCACATAAGCCATTTGCTCAGCCCTGAGAACAGGGATCTCCAGGGATGGCTCAGGTGGGGATGGGGAACAGTGAGGGAGGTTCCAGGCTGCTGGAGAGGGGTGTGTGGTAAGTAGAGTGTGGGAGATAGCTGAGCTGGCTCTAAATGTCCTGGTAATGAGCTGACAGTCCCTGTGTGCGGTCTTGGCTCAGGCTTTCCAGCAGTAACTGTGAGCACAGCTTCAAGGCAGGAGGTGGGAAGGGCAGCAAGGAGACTGGAATGCTCTCCTGACCCATTTTGAGATGCTGTGGCTGGGGTTCCACTGCAGATGTTATCTCCCCCACTTAGTCCCCACCCTGAGCTGGGCTCTTGGTTGGGATCAGTGCCCCTTGCAGAAGAGCGGATCAGTGTGACAGCTGGCTCAGCACAAAGCATCCAGGAGGGTGCTTCTCGCCTCGATGAGCCCCTGCAGCCCACTTGCCCTGGGCCCTGCTGGAGGAACAGACGCATCTGCCTCTGCCTAGTGCCTGTGCCAGCTGGTCTGCAGGAGCTTCCCGGAGTCCAGTGTGGGGTCCTGCTTGAATATTGAGAGAGGTGCTCCTCCTTGAGTAATTTCTCCATCGATATGGCTACCAGTGCCGCACAGCAGTACCAGGACTGCTGATGCCTTTTGAAATCAGTGGTAACCCTTTCTCCCAGGAGCAGTCTTGTTCTCTGTCTGCTTTCCATGTGAATATATATTTTTTTTAAAAGGGTAATTTGAAAGATAATGGTGGAAAATATTGAATTTCTGGGACGAGCTTTAAATAGGCTTAAAATTGGCTACTTTTTTTTTATACAACACTGATAGTAGCATCTTTTTCTCCTCCTGCGGCCCCACTGGCACAGCTAAAACACCAAAGGGAAGAAACAGTTCTTTGTTTGCTCGTTGTCCTATGTGGCAGGGGGCTATGTTTTATGTAATTCTTGGCTGGGTGCTTCAGAGCTAACAAAGCTTTCTTGTGTGTCAACGGCATTGTGCACAAGGGCTGGCGGGGCCAGCGGGAGAACAGAGACCCAGAGTGCTCACAAATGAAGAGGCACAAATGGAGGTTAGTTTCCGAAGGAAGGGGGAGCAATGGAGAAATGGAAATGGTTAGAGGTTTGTCACGGGTCACACAGACGGAGGCTCAGTAAATGGTATCTCTGAGCTCTTGGGGAAGCCGTCCCTGGTGGTCAGGAGGAAAACGGGTCCTTGAGCAATGTCTGGGTAACATCCAAAAAGCTCTGCAGAGCTTTGAGCTGCTCCTTGCTGTTTATTCCTCTGCTGCTGTGTGGAAGGATGGCCTGGTCAGCCACTGCTCTCTCACCATGCGCTCTTCAGCTGAGCCACAGCCAGTGTTGCTCTCCTGGGGACCAGTCTGGGGAAGTGGTGTGTCATTTGAGGCTGTCCATGCTGAAAACCCCCAAGCAAGGGTGTCTGCATTGTAGGAGGATTGCCTGTCCCTCTGTCTTCTCTGACATGCATGCTCTTCAGTTCCCAAATAGTCTCAAGTCAGTTTGTGATGGTGCAGACAGTGTCTCTTGGAGTTGGTTTTAAGGAACTAAAAGGGCTTGGCTTTTTTTTCCCCTTCCCAAAATGAATTAAAATGCAGATTAATGCACTCCTGCTGGGCCATGCCAGTCATCATGGTAACGCTAACTGAAAATGGAGTTTTACACGTATTCCTTGCTGTGGTCTACAGACATGTTCGGCCTATGTTGCTTTTTTGTTTTTTTTCAAGAAACAGTCATTTAGCATTTACTGTGCTGTCGTTCCTTCCGCCTCTAGATAAGCTAGATAGCACGGAGATGCTAACCACCACCAAAGTGATGTGTCTGGACTTTGTACTGCTCCAGAATGCAGTATTTCTTAAGGCAGAAAAAATAACCTACCTTGCATTGTTAAAAATAAAAATACCCTAATAAATCCAGCGTGGATGAAGTTGTATTGGCTGCATGTGTGCTGCTTCTTTAAAAGACTATTTTATTTCAAAATATACTGTACGAAGTGACATTTGTTCCAACATAAATGAAAAAAATGCCTTTTTTTATTGTGACAATGGAGTGAAATTATCGTACACCTCATGTTAGAGTACAAAATCAAATTCCAGTCCACAGCTCTTGAGTGCTAGAGTCGTGTCCTGTACATGTAACAGTTGATTGTAATGTGCTGTGGCATGACGGAAGGAGCTATATGATTACAATCTGGGTCTTGCATACATTAGCATAAGATGTAGCATTATCTGCTTGGAAGTTTGGTGAGGAGAGGTATGGGTATAAAAGAAAAATGAGTTGGTTTGGAAAACACCTACTAATATTTGTAATGGTTTTCAAATCTCCTAGAGATGTGAATACTGCTGTCATGGAGCTGCTGATAATGGCATATGCACTGAAGACTTCCTGTGCCAGGAACATCATTGGGGTCATCCCTTACTTCCCCTACAGCAAACAGAGCAAAATGAGGAAGAGGGGCTCTATAGTCTGCAAGCTGCTGGCTTCGATGCTCGCCAAGGCAGGTGAGTGTTGCAGGGACCAGCAGCATGGCAGGCTTGGACGCTGCAGTGTATCCAGCTGCTGGGCATCCCAGAGGGCATCTGTCCTTCCGTTCTTTTCCCGTTTGATGTGGGGACATGCTGCTGAGCCCTTGAGCCACTTTGGGGGAATTAATTTTCTTCAGCTCAATTTTATTTCTTTGTAACTTGCACCTGGGGAAGTGGCCTAGAAGTGTCATATCGAAATACAGTGTCAGCCTAGTGCTGTGACTTACTGCATGCCTGTTTCTCATTATGTCTTTGGAACTTTTTGCATTAACCTGTTTATGCTTATTTTATCACATGGCATAGTAGTCTGAGTAATAGCTAAAATAGTCTGGAAAATGGAGATATTTGAGGAACTCCAGCCATGTGGGAGTCATCTCAATGAATTGTTTTTTTTTTTTTTTCCTGTAGGTTTAACACACATTATCACTATGGACCTTCATCAAAAGGAAATCCAAGGCTTCTTCAGCTTCCCAGTAGACAACCTGAGAGCATCCCCTTTCTTGCTTCAGTATATACAGGAAGAAGTGAGGTTACTCTAGTTGTAGATATATCAATGTCTTAACTCATCTTAATGTGATAGCAGCATTGGGCCTTTGCTGATGCAGAGGTGGTGTTGTCAGGCTAGGTGAATTGTTCTGTTAATGAATTCTTAGGGGGTACCTATTGCATGTTTCTTAGGAAAGTGGGAAAATGTTGTATTGTATGATTGTACCTGGATAGAAATTGAACTCTTCACCATAAGCAGAAGATGGGCTTGCTTTCTGTAGAGTTAGTGCCATTTGAGAGATGCTATTTATGCTCTTGCCTCTAATTACCTTTGAAATCCTGTTAAACTGTCTCCCCTTGCCCTTTGTTCTGTGGTGGATGTCTGACTGCTCTGAATTATTGATAGACTTTGTCTTGGGCTGAGTGTAGGAATGCTGAGCACAGCACGGCTGGGGGCAGGGCATGGAGATTTTATTTTCTATGTGCAAAAGATGATGACTTATGCCCACATGCTGAGAGCAAGGCTTCCCTATGCAGGGAGAGCAGGCCCTGGGTTCAGACCTTCCCCTGCAGACAGAGGTAGCTGCAGCTGGTCTGTATAGCATAGGTTAAACAGAGTAAACATTCCCACCTTTGCCCATTTTGAACATAAGACCAACGCCTGCTCTGCATGGGCACTGGGGCTCCACATGCTGGTGAGAGCCAGGGTTTGATACCTCTGGTCCCCAGGGCCCATCACTACACCTTCCCCTTCCTTCCCTGTGCTGTGTGCAGTGCCCTGTGTCTTGGACAGCTGAGCTCAGTACTGCAGACCAGGCCGTAACTTGTGGGCATCAGCAGGGAAGGAGGCACAGAGCTGCAGTCTTGTGCAGAGTAGGGCCTGCACTATTGCCTGTACTAAACTTATTTGTGTTGCATTTGGGGCAGAATACACAAATACTGATGTTGAAAATGAGTGCAGTTGCCTCTCTAGTTTCTTGCCACAGAATGAAGATTTGGAGAAGGAGAGTGGGTGTGATTGTTCAGCCATGTGTCATATCAGTTACTCGCTAGCCAGAAGGTCTTTACTTAAATAACTTTTTATCACATCCAGATTCCAGATTACAGAAATGCAGTTATTGTAGCCAAATCTCCTGATGCAGCTAAAAGGTAAACGGATGCTTTACTAGCTGGTTAAAAGTAACTTGGAAAAGATCTGGGCTGATGGGAAACACACCAGGAAAAATATGGGAGGGTCACAAATGGATCAGCATTCTGGTCCATAAGTCCTTTGTGGCTGGGAACGGGAGGGACATCTGTAGTGGTGCGGAAGGGCAGCTGACTTTTGCCATCTCATCCCTGTGGGAGTAAACTCTGGAGGTCTCTGCTGCTGCAGAGCTAGGTGGTTCACCTGGGGCCAGGATCAGACTTGCTGCATGAGTTTCAGCAGTGCCTGACCATCTCAGAAAGCATTTAGCATAAGGGGGAATGCCAGGAGACCCCCTGTGGTAAAGTCAAGGGGTAGACTGGACTTTGGGATATTAAGGAGGAATGAAAAGTTGACTCCAGTGAAGTTTCTTGCTGGGGAACAGCCAGAGAGGTGCAGCCTTTGCTTACCCTGTTGGTCTGGGAGAGGCCTGGGCTATGAAGTTGCATCAGCCCAGTATCTTCCTGACGTGCTGTGGTTGTTCTGCAGGGCTCAGTCTTACGCTGAGAGACTACGGCTGGGACTAGCAGTGATACATGGAGAGGCTCAGTGTACAGAGCAGGACATGGATGATGGACGTCACTCCCCTCCGATGGTCAAAAATGCAACTGTGCATCCTGGTCTGGAGCTGCCGTGTAAGATTAAGCTTCTCTGCTTACCTTTGGGCAAAAAAAAGTTTGGTGGGAAATTGCTGTTGGTTTAGCTGTGTAAGTATAACCAACCTAATGGCAGTTGGACCAGTGGAATTTTTCTCATGCAAAGGTTGGTATCACCAAGTTGTAGGAGAAAATACAAGGGAAGGTTTTTATTTAACTCTTTCTGGCCATGCAGAGCATCAGTATTGTTGTCCTTGGCTGTGCCCACTCAATGGTGTCAGACTGACAAACCTCTGATAAAGGTGATGCTTTTACAGTGCTCAGCAACGAAATGCATTGAGCTAATGAAACAGGAAAGAAATGCGGAAGTGTAACTAACATAGGAACAGCCACTGAGACAGACTGCTGTCTCCAACATGGAGGGGAGGGCTGGCCGTTGTCTTCCCCTCCTGCTGCAGCCATTGTTACTGCTGGAAATTTTCTTTCTTCATCTTGGCAGCCAGGTGATCATGGTCTGGTGTCTGTTTTGACAAGGTTTTGAGGTTTGTGTGGCTGGGGTGAATAGGTTCTCCGAGAGCATTGCTGAGCTGCTTCCTGTGCTCTTGCCATCAATTGATAAGCTGCTGATTTGGGAGCACAAAGCAAAGGAAAATGGAGGAAACCTGTGTTCTGGGAAATGCTGTCCTCTTAGGATTGCTTGTATTCCTGCAACAGCAGCAGTCAAGTAACAACAGTACAATCAAAATCCAGCTCCCTCTTGGGAGGATTTTAGCTTTCTAGGTAGATGGTGGTAGGACAGAAATTGAGTGCAGTGAATGTGGCTGAGAAGTGACTGTGGGAAAGGATGCATGCTGCTGTATGTGATAAGGAGCTATCCATCATGCAGCCAAACTTCATTATACCAGCAGTGGCTAGGGCTACTGATAAGCCTCTCCTCTTGTCTTTTGAAGTTTAGGGAGAACATCCAACCAGATTGTGGGCAGGTTGTGGAGGGGTGGCAAGTAAGACTGCAGGCATTTTACATTACCCCAGTCATCGCTCATTATAATAGAATCAGTTAAACAATGCTTATGTTGCTGGTGGAACTCCTCTTGGTCCTTGGGGGACAGGTAGGGTTTGGCAATGAGGTTTGGGACTTCATCTTGATTGTCCCCCTTCTGACAAGGGGATTTTTTCATTCCCTTCCAACAAAACAGGCATTTGTGTGGTTACTTTTGGCCTTTTCCTTCCCTTCCTACTCTGAAGAGGATGCTGTCCTCCAAAATATCACTAGCTGACATTTGTCTGTTACCAGGACATTGATGTGACTGTATTTTTATTTCCAACTATGTTACTTTAAGGAAGCTCAACTGTGGGAGCTTGTGCTGCAGGAGAGCCCTGTAAATGGTAGCTCATACAGAAATGTGCCCTTGTCCAGTTTAGTTCTGATTCCAGTGGAAAATTGTTTTCAGTCCTCAGCTATCCAAACACAAACTAATTTGCTGTGTATCACCACTTTCTTGTTTTGTCTCCTGCAGAAACTCAGCACTTGACTAATGACCTTACATTCTTGCACACCTAAAGCACAAATGTAAAACAATCAAGCTGTGGTTTGGTAGCTGTCTGTTTGCGACATGTGGGGTGGATTATGGGACAAACTTGTCCAAAACTCTCAGTAGAAAGTTGCTTTTCTCTCCAGTTTTCTAATCTGATAGATACCTGGTTTTGAGCTCGCTGAGCTCGCTCTGAAGGTGCAGAATACTGAGGTAAAGCAGTCTCTAAGCTTCTAGTGCATCCTTCTTGTGTTGCAGCCTCTGCTAGGGAGCTGCGCTCTGTCAGACAGAGGTGAAAATGGAGCTAGGGTTAGGGATGGCAATGCTGTGAGTCTCTGTACTTACCCTCTCTGCTATGCTTCCTTTCTTGTCCAATTCAGTGATTTGAAAAGTGTCTTCCCTCCTCAAGTGGCACATCAAACAAAACCCTTGATCAGCTCCTCCTGCCATGTGTACCATCACCAGCAATCCAGGTGGTGTAAGGGTGTAAGGTCTGATGGCAGAAGGAAGCAGCGTTCAGCTATGTCCCTGTATTGTTGTTTGTGAAAGGTAGGACACATGCTGCTCACCCAACATTGGCCAGAAAAATCTCCAGTTGTTGAAACAGTCTTCAGGTCTGCCTGGCTCAGCTACCACAAACCTGGGTCTGGGCAGTTAGAAGATAGGGGTACTCCTGGAGGGTGGCTGAGACTAACTGGAGCATCCTGCTGTGGGCTACAACCAGATCGGTGTGGAGCGTCCTATCCTCCCTCTCTAGACTGTGCAGTTCAGGGTCCCCGGCAGTTGTGTTAGAGCCAGAAGAGAGGCAAAACCCATGTCTGGGAGCAGCTCCAGAGCCCTACAGCAATGACTTATGCTTTATGCCATTCTTGATGAGCTTCCTAGTGAGTTGGCTGGGCTCTTGCGTCCTGGCATGCACCTTTTCTCCTATTCTAGTAGAGATTATGTGCCTTTAATTAACGAGTGTTATGCAGCGTAATGGCTTATTTATTGTCCTGAGAGTGTAGCTTGATGTGATACTCCGATTTGGTGTCTTATGGAGCCATAACAGAAAAATGCCAAAGGTGCTTCCAACTGCAGTTCTTAAAGTGCTGCACTAAAGCTACAGCAACAGCTCACGTCACTCAAAACCCAGAAATCAGAGCCTTTGAGACAGGATGTCGCTCTGACGTTATTTTCTTTGATTGTGTGCTCTTTGTGTCTCAAAGCTTGCAGCTGGCTTGGGGCTGTGCTTTAACAAATGTATGTGGACTCTTTGCATGTTTCCTTGTTCTCAAGAAAAGTAGTGGAGCACCATCTGTTAAATCATTTCAGTGGCTCTGAAATTCAGTACTTTATACAGAAAGCTAATGGTCTGCTTCAGACCCAGAGCCTGGCAAACTGCCATGAAGGAAGAGAGTTTGGGTGAAAAACTGGAGTGACCATAGGTCTGTTCCGGCTTCCCTACCCCCATGTCTTTTCTGTGTTTAGGCTGCGCACAGGGACATTATCTGTCCTTCCAGGTCTATCTCTTCACAAAACAGTTTGTTCTTGAGCAGCCTTTTGCTCATAGACTGTTGAAATGCAGCGCTGTTTTTCTTGGTGATTATCACTTCAGTGCACACTGTCAGCTCCAAACAGAATTTGTTTTAGCATTTCTTAACCCATTTTTCACCGCTTAATTAAAGCAACAGGTTTATGCACCTGGGAATGCTGTTTCTTTATGCCAGTGATAATCTCGCCTTTAATTTGTGGTACTTTGGCATATATTACTTGCATCAGAATGAAAGTGCAGGTTAGTGTGTTTGGCTGATGAACTTATTTCCCCACCACCCCTCAGTGTTCTTTGATATACTTGTTTTATAAAAATGTTGGTTGATTTGGTTTTTTCTCTTTTATTTTTTCCCCCAGAAGCTACAGATACCACAAGTATCTTTTTTTGACTCTCCAGAAAAAAAACAGCAACTCTTCTAACCTAAACTACATAATCCAAGGGGTTACGCCAGGCAGAAGTACAGCTGTGGCTTACTTCTGTTGCCCTCTTTTGTCTACATACAAATAGAGGTTTTGTGTCTGGGAGGAAAATGTTCTTTATTATTTGAATCATTTTTCAAGCCACCTTCTCGTAGCAGTTCTGACTTGCATATCTTGATACGTCCAAAGATTTTGAAGAAAAAGAAACTGTCCACAGTAACCCTTGCATAAGCTCTCATCACATTGGAGTAGTTCTCTTGAGATTTGATGTGGTTGTGGGTAGATCTTTGGCTTGCAATTTTTTTCTTTTCTTTGCAGAGAAAATTGAACAAGAAAAAGTGACAACATCTCTTTAGGATCCGGGTAGGTCGACATGTTGCCTACCATACTTTAAAAATAAAACAAAATTGAAATACAGCACTTAAAAACAGACAAAGAGATGCAAAGCACTGCTAATGTTGCTAGCTGCTGTGTTAGCCTTTAAGCATAGCAAGGAATGTGTCTGCTTCCTTTATGGAATAGAAGGATACTGATTTGCTGAAACTTCATGTGTTTGTGAGTAAAATAGTGCTGAATTTCAGCTCCCTAGGCCTGTTCACCATTTGTTTCGTGGATGCACATAAAGGATGAGATGGCAGCCAGATGTAATCCTTTTGGTATTTCACAGCTCCCACCAGGAGTTTTGTTACTGTCCGAACTAGATAATAAACTTAATAACTAATCTAAGCAGGTATGTGGTGCCTGTAATTGAAATTTATGGTCTGCTTATCTCTTGTGACGCTTAATCTTAGTTTATTACACATACTCTTTCTTCTCATACGAATATTTTCCCTTCAGGATTTAGATGTGACTTTGCATTTGATAGGAGACTCAGAAATAACAATGCAAGGGAGACTGGGGAATCTGTGCTCCAAAGAGCAATTAACTCTTTAAGTCCAAGGTAGCTGTGACTGCAAAAACCTAGCAATGAGTAATGTAACTTTGGTCAAAATAGAACTATTGGACACCTTTTATACAGTTTTGGTATGCTTACAGAAAACCAGTCTGTGGAGTAGGTCGTGTATATGAAGAACAGCTCTACATATGAATCTTCAGAGCACTGGTCCTTGTAATTGCTTTCATTGCTTCCCTCAGTCTGACTCACTCACCCAGCTGTGCTTGCACTCTGAGCATTCCCAAGCACTGATGAGTTGTGGGAATAGTAGTGGATCAGCCTGCTGTGCAGGATGGGGAGTTTCGAGTAGGACTTTTTTGACCCAGGAGGGCAGAAATCAGTATTCAGACAGGCTTTTTGATGGGCAATGGCTTGTGTTCTCCTGCTGCTCAAGTGTTATATTGAAGTAGGTTATCTTAAAGGAGAAAAATCTTGCTATCTAGGGTGTCCAAAACTCCTCAGCACTTGAGAAGCCTTCGTGGCTGAATCCTGGCAAGACCTGAGCTTACAAAGAGGAGGGTTACAAAGTGCCTCAGTAGGACACTGCTGCACTCCCCTTAGAGAGCATAAAATCGGGGTGGGGGGGGTGCAGGTGGGCCAGGTAAGTGTTACAAAATGCTGGATGTTCCTCTTTGCTTCAGTAGTTAGATCAGCCCAGATTTTCACCTAATGGCACGTGCATGCCAACCATTGTGTCCTTTTTGTGCTGCAAGTTTTTGTACTGCATTCACTGTATAAACCAGCACCCTCTGGCAAGTGAGAGGTTCGGCTTATGGACAGCAAGTCCCTGGCCCATATCAGAGGCTAACTGCTGTTTGGTGCGAGTCTGAAGACTGTGTTACATCTGGACACACTCAATGCATCCTAGTTCATATCTCTGTTGTTTTTTTTATATTGCCGCTGGAAGTTCTTCAGGATAATAAAGGATAAAGCCTGTTACACATGCAGTTTTTGCATGAACCATGTCAGTGCAAAAATAGTCAGGAGGGAGTGGAACCTTATTTCCCAGTACATCTCTTTACCATGTGTCAGATAGCACAGCTCATTGATGTATTCTTTTGCTTCCAATTCCTGGTTGCACTGAGCTTGTAGAACTGAGTTGGAACTGGATTTTGTCCTGCTCTTTTAATTCATCCACTTTAAAAAAAAAAAAAAAAAAAAAAAAAAAAAATCAGCAAATTTGCTTCTGCAAACTTCCTTAAGCTTTCTTTGCCTGAGCAGGTATTATTAAGGTCCTTATGCCCTCTGAAAGAGCCTTGTGTGTTTGGTGATAGGAGAGAAAGCAAGCTGCAGTGCGAACCTCAAATCCTTCAGATGAATTAGCGAGTCCAACAGGTGAAAAGTTGCACCTTGTAAAGCATATGCCCTTTGAGAGGTGTTGCTCGGAGAAGCCCATTTGTTGTTCTCAATCCTGAGACACCCCTTTTTTTGAGTCCTGTCTTGGAGCACAGAGAGTCACAAATATTTCCTATAAACTAGGTGCTGCTTTGTAGCTCTCCTTGCACAGAGGTCGGTTAGATATTTGAATTTGCTTACTATCTCTGAGGTCAGTATGAGGTCCCCACAGAAACTGAGAGTTTCATCTTTATGCAGCAGTGCTATTCATTTAAGGAGGAAAACGATGGTTAAACCAGTGGTTACCCACTTAGGTGGGTGTCAGGGTAATGTAAAGCACATGACTCTGTGCACCAATATAAGATGCAGTTAAGGGCTGGGCCTCTTGTGTGGTGGAGCTGTGGTGGTTTGACTCAAGGCTAACTGACCTTGGCTTTTTTTCTTCTTCTTTAGTGATGATGGCCAAGGAGAAACCGCCAATAACTGTGGTTGGAGACGTTGGAGGAAGAATTGCCATCATTGTGGTATGAGTGTGATGGAGTGGAGGGGGGTGTGGATTCCTCCCAGTATCTTTTCTTGAGCTGCTTTATCCCAGAGGGTAGGAGGGACTGCTGGTGTAGGGGTAGGAACATGATTGTTACTGCTGTTTTCTCCAGTTTTGCTGGTAGCTTTGGTTATATTGGCTTTCTGTTGAAAACCCTTCGTACTTCAATGCTTTAAGCCCTGAAATCTCCTTGCGCCCTTGAATCTGCAAATGTCAGATGTCTACAAATACTCAACAAATCCAGGACACGCAGAGAAATCTCCTGAAGTGTTTAAAAAAACCCCAACCAACCAACCAAAAAAAACTTGCTGAGCTTCTCATACTAATTGTGCCATGCTGCAATGTAAGTAATCAACATGCAGCTACTATCACCATGAAAAAAAATACCTTGCTGACGATAAGCTCTCTTTGTGTGTGTGCGCACGCAGGGACTAATTTGTTTCCAAGACACAATATTTGTTCTGCACACTAGCAAAAGGGTCTGTAAATTAGGGAAATGGCGTTCACAGATTTAAGTCGTGCACATGACTGTCCTTGCATCTCAACAGTAGCTGAAGCAGCCAGGGATTATTTTTTTCGGCTGTGTGCATGACCAAAGCTGCAGTACCTTGCAGATCCACTCCTGCCCTGCAGGCATGGTAAACTTCTGGTTTTGATGTTATTTCTGTTTCTTCTCAGGATGACATCATCGATGATGTGGAAAGCTTTGTAGCTGCTGCAGAGATCCTGAAAGAGCGTGGAGCCTACAAGATTTTTGTGATGGCTACTCATGGACTCCTGTCAGCAGATGCCCCCCGTCTCATAGAGGAATCCTCTATCGATGAGGTGCGTCCGCTTTCTGGACTCAGGAGGAAGGGCTGGCTCTGGTGGCTGGGTTGATTTAAGACACCAAAAACCATAAACTGATATTCTTCCCCTGCCACATAGTTCATCACTGAAATGACTGGTTTCATCAGATGCTCTCAGTCAGCTGGTTCTTCACTGAAAAAAAAAAAAAAAAAAAGCATGTGTGATTAATACTTGTTCAGATCAGATCTGCTTCTCTGTGTATGTTTTCTCCGTGATGCACAGATATTAGTCATCCCTGCCTGGACACTTCCCTTACCGCAGCTGGGTGCATGTTACTGCTTTCTAACTGTGCAGACCTTCTACCTGTCCCTCTCCCCCAGCTGATGATGGGCTGTTGGGTACATTAAGGGGATAAGATTTCAAACCTTGCCCTTAGTAACAAACATGTTAGGTCCTGCAATCTAAATGGACATGTCAGCCTGTGTGTAGGTGGCTGTTGTAGAGTGCTGGTTATGCCAGTCCCTTCAACAGATTGACTGTCACATGGAGGAGACCATTTATTTCAGTCTTTTTTTCTGACATACAAGGATTTCTCCCCCTGAACTGTGAAACTGCAGGTACACACCACTCGTGGAGTTAACCAGCTCTTCAGTGAGAATGAATGTATCAGCGGCACAGCTAATGGTCTTTTCTTTCTGGCACTCCATAGGTGGTAGTAACCAACACAGTTCCTCACGAGGTACAGAAGCTGCAGTGCCCCAAGATAAAGACTGTGGATATCAGTTTGATTCTCTCTGAAGCCATCCGACGAATCCACAATGGCGAGTCCATGGCCTATCTCTTTCGCAACATCACTGTTGATGACTAGACCTGGCGCTGCCCCTGTCCTGGCTTCCACAAGAGACGGAAATATGCATGAAAAGGCAATACCATAAATTATAGGCATAACACAACTGTTTATTCTTGTAGGAGCATGAAGGTTTTCAGGGTCTTGAGCCATGAGATCTAATAGAGAAAAATCAACCTGACCAGCACTTTACAGGTGAATAGAAGAGGCCACTGGCAATGGGGAGGTTTACATCTTAATTAAGAGAGATCGAAAAATGAGGTGGTGTTGAATTTTTAAGTTCCTTTAATTTTTTATATTTTTTTTAGTGTGTTATCTTTTGCCCTATAGGGGGGGGAAGAAAAGCAAAAAAGAAGTAGCTGTCAGCTTATGACAAGGGAATAGAGACTGCTCATTGCTGCATGTGGGCGGCAAGAGGAGACAGCATTTGGGTTTCTGTTTCTGATTGTGACTCGCCTGAGAGCGCAGAAGGGAGTGCTTCATTCAGGCAGCTGGGCAGGACAGCTTGCTGCTGGCAGAGCTGATCAGCAGAGCAGCTCCTTGCCAAATCAGTGGCCTCTCATTTCTTGCACAGCATAGCAGGGACTTTCATCAAAACTAAGTTAGCGTAACATCCAGAAAGGGCAGCTTAGGGCAATCCATTTGCAGGGCTGCTCGCATCCTTGTGTCAGGGCGCTGGGAACAAGCTTACATGTGTCTCCCAGCAGGGCAAGGGGTGCTAGTTAATGTGCTGGCCTTTTCATTTTGTGAGCCTTGGATCATTATTGTTCTTCAGTGGCAAGGCACATGAGGGTCTAGGTCCTCACTTGAACACTTGTCTGCACTGCAAAACCAGGCACAATTTCTGGAGTTGCCTGGGTCTGATGAGTTGTGGCAGAGTCTTGTGGGGAAGGGGAGTTGGAACAATATCTGCCTCTAATGCAACTGTGCTCTCCAAAACACTAACACTGAACCTGCAATAAAAAGCATAGGATTTTTCATTTTTGATGCTTCCTGTGAATGCTGTACCCTCTGAACAGCTGCTGTGTCTGTACTGCGGGGCTGTTGCTGTAAGCAGGTTTGCTTGGCAGCTTGCAGTCTTCTTCCACGGGGAAGTAGGACTCACTGCTTGCTCCTTTCTTGAGTGACACTAATCCTTTGCTGGAGGAGACGCTTGAGAAAGCAGCACAAGGTGCTTGTGAAGGGCTTTGTCTCCAGGATGATATAAGGATAAATTCCCAAACTGTGATGTTCCCCCTTGATGAGGCTGACAAACACGCTCCAGTAAAACCTATGCCACTTTCTCACCTGCTGATGTGAGGAATAAATCCTGCTGGAAGCAGTTGCTTCCGAAGAGCACTGCTGGTGACAGACTGTCTCTAGAAGGCAGTTGTTTAGTTTTGCTTATCCTTCAACTTCTACCTACATCCTTCTCTTCCACCCCAGCATCTAAAACATGTACAGTGCCAAGGGGCAGGCAGTGACTCTGTGAGCAGGACAAGCCTTGAACACCAGGCAAACAAGCATGCCTCGGCATGGGGCAGTTTGTCTTGCAGAATAGTGTCCTGTCTCGTAGCTGGTGAGGGTACACGAAAGCCCAGAACAGTTGGGACATCTCCAGTATCCAGCACAGATTAAACCACCAAGCCAAATCCCACGAGGGATGCACAGGGCTGGATGAGGTCTTAAGGCTGTTGATGGTTTTTCTGCATTTTCAAAGTACTACAAACATGTGTGACCACAGTGTGACTCCTCGGCCTGGTACACTAATGCAGTACTGTGCTGTAAGTATTATTGAACAGATCGACCGAAGTGTGTGATGTCCTTGCAGAGGTCTGCATGCCCCCTTGTTCTGAGCCGATACCAGCCCATGCTCTTCATACTGGAAGCCAGTGTTAAAAATATGAGCAGTATTGCTCTTCTCTCCCCTTCAAACTGCCTGTCAGACCTGCTAGAAGCAGGGTCAGGGCTTGTTGAGTGCTGTTGCCCCATTCAGGCTTGCTTTTAGTGGGCTGTATTTGGGTAGAAACTGTGGAACCATGGCACCAGTGAGAAGAAGGTTGTGCTGGTGTCCCCTGGGTCATACTCAGGACCACAGGCTGAGTTATCCTCAGGCTTTGCTTTAAACCTTACCCTGACAGAAGGCAAAAGCAGTTGGCTAAACCGAAGCCAGGAGATGTTCACGTCTCAAAATCCCTAACTGCTTTAGGAAAACTGGTACCCTGTATTCACTGGACCCCCAAAGGTCATGGGGAGATGGTGGGCTAGGGCCGATGTACACTAGGACACGGCGTCTGCCCAACCTGACCCAGCCTGGACCTAGGTTGCCATCACATCAGCATTGAGCCTCGGCATTTTTCCTGCTGCCCCAAAATCCTGTTGTACCACTGTGCTGATGTGGCCCTGGGCTATTTTAGGGGCCTTGCAGCTTTTCCTGCCAGTCCTGAGTGCTGTCTAGAAAGTTTGACCGGTCCTTGGGTGTAGCTTTAGGGCTCCTGAGCCTGCAGCACTGCCAGTTAGGAATTAAGGCACAGGATCCCTCCTAAGAGGGTTAGCTTCTTGCCTCAGTGCATCTTGTTCCCATCTCTTAATCTCTCTACTCCCTCTTTGAATTCCATCCTCCCAGCTTGGAAAGGAAAAATCCACACACAGAGCAGATCTCTGCATTTCGGTTTTAATGCCTGGGAACGGATCTCTCGTATCTTAAAAGCGCGAGGCGTGCGTTCTGTTTCCTGCTTGCCCACCCTCATGGAAATTGGCTTGGAGTGCCTCGTCGAAGTAGGGAGGTGTCAGGGCTCTGACTGCGTGACAGTCGGACCTGGAGGTTTATAAGGGAAAAGAGGTTCTTGTTGATTATTTTTGTAAGTACTTGTCTGCTGGATCACTCCAGTTCAAGGATTTTTCCCAGTGTTTGAGTACTTTACTTCCTAGGGCTGTCTGGAAGCGTGTGTTTATCTGCGTTTCTGTTTCCCTGCTTATACGGCTCTTTGCTTTGGAGCAAGAGAAATCTGTGTGTTGATGCTGTCAGCAGCAGCTTTCCACTATTTCCACGCCTAAGGGAAAGGGTAAAATCCGTCATGCGTTTAATACATCAAAAAAACCCAAAACAACCCCAACATAAATTGAGGTGCAGGCCGGACCAGGCTGTGCCACCAGCAGTATCGTGTCTCAGACCTCTCTTGCGGGGACAGCTCACCCTGCAAGGGAGCTGCGGCTCCCTGGGCACGGGTTGCAGTAAGCTGCTTCAAAACATTAGACGTCACCGGTTGCATTTTGGGGTATTCAGGTGGAAAAGGCAGCAGGGAGGCTCGGCGCGGCCTCCGCGCCGTTACCGGCGGGGGCCCGGGCGTCGCCTAGCAACGGGAGACGCTACACGGTCCCGCCCCTCCGTAAACACGGACACGTGGGCAGCGGGCTCGGCCAATGGGCGGCGGGGAGCGGCGGGAGGTGGCCAATGAGGGAAGGGAAGGGGCGGGCTCAGGGCATGGGGCGGGA